AATTTAAATTTGATATCTTCCAATATCACAAAGCCTTCAATTTGAGAGTATCGATATCTCTCGCATAAAGGAGATATCAATGTGAGGATCTGATACCTCTCTCAATTGTCGACTATCCTCGACCACCGACTACCACTGCAACCGCCAACTACCCCCGTTGCCGGCTACCCCGCCAATCATTGATTAAATCATGGTCATAAATCTGTCCAAACAATTTCATTTTAAATTTCGAAACTCATTTAATTTTTCTCAGATTTCAAATCCACATACTTGCGCGAGTACATCCACCTTCAACCGTACTTCAAGTCCTAATATCAATATTTCAATTTAACTAAAAAATAAATAAATAATCAAACTATATACTCCATCCGTCCCAAAAAACACTTCTTATTTCTATTAAAAAGTCACTTTTACCTCTTATTTTTTCATACCCTACATATCACATCATACCTTTTTACCAATAATCTACCTATCAAATCCTACTTTTTCCTATCACATCAAAGAACATTTTTGGAAATTCAATACCAAAATACACTTCCCTTAAATCTCTTCAAAATCAAAACATCTCATGTTTAAAGGGACGGAGGAAGTATAAAATTAATTATGGCACATAGATATATAATACTCCCTTCGATTCTTAAAACGGTTCTTGTTTTGACTTTGGGGCAAAATAAGAAAAGTGTAATTTTAGTTGACTTTCCAATTTTACCCCTGATGTGATAGGTAAAAGTAAGATGTGATAGTTCAGTTATTAGTGAAAAAGTATGATGTGATAGGTCGGGTATGAAAAAATAGGGGTAAAAGTGGTTTTTTAATAGAAAAAGGAAGTGTTTTAAGAAAAACAAAAAAAATAAAAGAGGAAGGGTTTTAAGAAACGGAGAGAGTACAAAACTAGTATGTACATTGCAAAGAAAGAGGTAGCTAGCTGATGCGCATGCATGGATGGATGATGTGACGAAGAAGATATATAGATACGGCCGCGGTATAGCTGGTGCATGCTATACCTGGTGATCGATCGAGGAAATGATCCATCCAATTGATCGAATTATATACATATAATTATATAACATATATATACCGTATAGAACAAAAGTTTTGTTAAGAAAGAATAATGAAAGAGATGGATTTCGATGGTACACTTTGTCCGGATCCATCGACCGTGTGTGATCATCATTAAACAAAAATTCTGTCCCTAAGCTAGCTAGCTCGTTTATTGATGGATTGCAGGAAATTATAATTCAATTTGGGCCGTAGGAATTACATAGGGCCTGTTTGAGAATAGCGTTAGAGATTAACGTTAGCGTTTTGAAAAAGTTATCTACGGGCAGCGTTTAGAATTAACATTTTCAAAATAATCTGCACCGTTAAAATTTTATTCAAAATGCTAACATTATTTCCCAACAGACTCGTAACACATAGGATTGATGATGTTATTACAATACTAATACTCCTTAGTTAATGATAATAATGTATGAGACAAATGTACAAGTCGTGGGGTGAAAGGTGCCATCATTGTTCTTGTTTTGCTGTGATAATAGCTAACCATCGGCGGTGGATTATATAAATCTCCTCGCTAATTATGCGCCGGGACAGTATCTTCCTCCTTTCCTTTCAAATTAAACAAAAGATCGGAGGCGTACGTGTTTAATTATATTATTGATGGATTAATTAACGTACGTGCCATTTGGAAGATCGATCGATCACTTAGCTTGCATGCATGCCTTTCATTCTTAATTATCACCTTAATCCGATCCACGTGCGCCCAGATATATACATACATCATATATCCATATCTGTCCATTATTAATACTCCCTCCATCATTTAAAAAAGTTCCCAGTTTGACTTTTTGAAAAATTAAAGAGAATGTATTTTGATATTGACTTTCCAAAAATGCCTTTTGATGTGATGGATAAAGTAGGATGAGATGGATAGATTAATAGAGAAAATGTGCGATGTGATAGGTAAGTTAAGAATTAGTAGGGGAAAAGTGACTTTTTAAAAGGAAAAGGGGAGTGTTTTTTGGGACGAACGAAAAAAGAAAGGAAAACTTTTTTGCGAAACAGAGGTAGAGGGAGTATTACATTATTACGGGTTTATTCTTGTGAAATTTGCACTGAATATATATGACTAAAACATAAGTCATTTTCTAATGTAAGACTTAAATTTTTTATTCCCTAAATAGGACTTAACAATGACTAGTGAGAAGAATAATGTCGAAGTGATGCTGGACATTTAGTAGAATAATGAGTAATAGATAATGACCAATGCTCCTACATTGGGAAATAAAAACATATGGTCCTATATTGAGAAAGTCATTATCTAGTTTTATTTAGGTAAACTACCCCTTATTCTTATATTCGATTAAGTGCATTTTGTTTTTTTCACTACACACGCGTACGCTACTTATTTAATTGAAATATTTGCACTATATAGCATTAAAACTAAAATCATTTCTCTAAATAGCACTTAAGTTGTTTATTCCCTAAATAGTACTTAATAATGTCCATAATGACCAGTGATGGCAAAAAATTACGTGAATAATGACTTATGGATAATGAGTAAAAGTGTTACATTGGAAAAAAACACATGTAGTGCTATTTAGGGAACGTCATTATATTTTAGTGCTATTTACGGAAATTTCTCTATTTAATTTTGTCCATTTCCCATGAGATACGAGTTATTTTGTGTTAGGAAAAATTCATGATTTAGCCTAATCACTAATCAGGTCGCGACAATCCAACATATTATAGACTTTTTTTAAGAAACATTTGAAGAAAAATTTGCTACATATAAGACAAAAAAGTAATACATTTTTCTGAATATGACCAAATATGTTTTAATTTATTCTCTTTATGACACATAATTCCATATGACCTGTCATACTCATATATATGCCTTCATTAGCAACAAATATTGGATAATGACTAATTATACAAATGATACGAATGTGGTCATTAGCAACAAGTGTTGAATAATGACTTATTATTTCAATAACTATTCAAATCATTTTTATTAATGTCTTATTTTATTTGAATTGTATAATTGGTCATTTTTCTCAAAGGGAGAAAATTTTAAAACTTTCTATTGTCAAATATTAGACTAAATAGGACCGATCTATTGTCAAATGTTAGACTAAATAGGACTGATCCTTTTTAAGGAAATGACCGATCTAGTAATTATCCATTAGTTATTATTCAAATAAATTTTCATCATCACTGAACATTATTAAGTGCTACTTAGAGAATAAAACAGTTTAAGTGTTATTTAGGGAAATGACTTAATCTAAAAATAAGAAAAAGTAGTACTTTTTCTTATTTTTCTAAAAATATGAATGGATGAAGTTAAGATTAAATCTTACCAGTTTCCGATTAATTTATGTTGATTACTTTTTTCCATCAATTTTGTACGATTTTAGTTATTTTTCTCGTTTTTCCTTATTTTTTATAACTATTTTTTATATTTTATCTAAAGTTAAACTAATCTTTTAAAAATAGAAATGATAGAGGTAGAAAGTACTTTTAAAATTTTAAATTCAAATTTCAAAAAAAAAAACAAAAATGAAAATTCATCGAAAATAATCTCAACTTTTATTTTATTGCGCAAAACATGCCATTTCTGTTAACTTGTCGTTAGTAACTTAACGGCGATCCAAAATTCAATCACAAATTTCAGTAAAGTTGGAATTATTATGCATCACAGTGAAAGATAGGATAATTTTTGAAAGACCGCGTAAAGTTAGGAATATTCTGGATAATTCTTCATATTCATGAAAATAAACTAAGTATTTTTTTTAGAACATAGAGAGTTGTACGTATTATCAAATTTATTAATCCCTTTGTCCATAAAATATCATACCCCTTCCGTCCCCAATTTTATTACGGAGTACAACTTTTTTCCTCTCTCATCTCGATAACTTTTGTTTGTTTACGCGATTTTATTAAGTGTTTGATAAAATAAAATATTTTTGTCACTTCTTGTTTTGTAAAACTTTTGATGTTTTTTTAATATATACTCCGGGTAATTTTTATTTCTTATCGATATACTAATTTGTAAACAAAATGATTTTAAAAAGTGTGATGTTTCTCTTCGTAAATCCCAATTCATAATCAAATTGGGGACGGAGGGGAATAATGTTTACTACTCTCTCCATTTTGGAAATAGTTCCACTCTAATTTTTACATCCTTGCCACAAAATAATTTTAGTCCTACCCTACTTTCTTGTGAACTACCACATATTTCTTTTGAGATTTTTTTAGGAGTACTCCAAGATAGTGTACCTAGATGTACACTAGTTTCTCCACACAGACACTCATTCTCTGTGTTTCACATAGATAGTAAGTATCTCTGTGTATCTGATAGAAGTTGGTATATATCAACTTGAAGTAGTTTTAGGTTGTTTTGACTTTTGAGACATTTTAGACATCATGGGGGTACACAAAAAAAAAAAATTGCGCAACTACTTCCGGAGCTCCAATATCATCATCCTACATCTGTGGCAACCATATGTCCTATAATCTGGCTCTGAACAGGAGTGGTAGGAAACACCCCCACGACAGCCTTTCTTTAAAAAAGTGTTTTATGCTTTCTACCCTGGTAATTAATTGAAGTAAATGACCCATAAAATCACCGCCCCGTAGAACCCAAAGCATGAAAAACGTGCACTACTCGAAAGCCTCTTGTAAAAGAAAAAAAAAGGGGACAAACATTAATAACCTTTTTTTCATTATTAGGAATTTACTTAAATAGCACTAAAGCATAATGACTTTACCTAAATAGTACCGCATGTGTTTTTCTTCCCAATGTAGCACTTTTAGTCATTATGCATTAGTCATTATTCAAGTAAATATTCGCCATCACGGGACATTATGGACATTATTTAGTGTTATTTAGGGAATAAAACAATTTAAGTGCTATTTAAGGAAAAGACTTATGTCTTAGTGCTATTTAGTGCAAATATTTCTTATTCTTAATTGAAAGAAAAAAAATTAAATAATCCTCAATCAACTTAGTAATATTATTAATGACTATACTACGAGAGTCTCTCACAGGTTACAACTGTCGTCTGAAGATCAAACACGCCACACACAGTGAGGAAAAACTATACAACTTTGCTTTCTTTCTTGATCAGAAGAAGAGAGCACAAAAACAAAACAAAAAACAAGCCATAACAATTTCCACATCTAATTTTTTGTTGTTGTTTAATTTCTTTGCACGGATTTTTCAAGTCGTCAGTTGTCGCCCCTGAGTTTGGAAACATCTGGACAAGTCAAATCGGCAGCAGATCCTTTGTAAACTTTGAGGGAAAAAAATGGTGTTTTTCTCCCGCCGGCCCGGAGATTAATTAATTAATGAATTAATTACCTAGCTAGGTAACAACAAGGTAAGGGAGGAGGTCAAGGATTGAAAGAAGGGTTCGTCGCAGGGAATGGTGAGGCCCCCCATGTCGTAGTCAAACCCAAACTCTTCTTCGGCCTGGCTAAGAAGAGTTTGGAACTCAGGCCTTGACAGGAAGGAGATGGGGACAATGTGCCGGCTCCTCTTCTCCCCCACGTACACCGCGAAATGCCCCTTGGGCACGTCCAGGGGGAGGCCGTCTTCGTGGTGGTGGTGGTCGAACCCCCCGCCGCCGCCGCCGGCGGCGTGTTTTTTGCCGAAGCTGGAGCACCGCTTCAGTATCTGCTTGATCACTACGCCTGTTTGGGAGAGCACTCTGTTCGACCTTCTGTTGTCCATCCTTTTCATTATCATCATCATCCACTCCACGTGCTTTGTAATTTAGAATATTTTCTTCTTTTTTTGAATTTGTTTGTCTTAAAACAAAAAAGGATGAGATTTTTCTCCTCTCTTGTGATGAAATAATATTGTTGAGTTGGATGTATGGAGAGGTTGAGGTATAAATAAATAAATGTGTGGGGGAGAGGATGGATGGGCCGGGCTGCTTCATATGATAATGGTTTTGATCTGTTTATAGGTGAAGTATTTATATCCCCAAATGCCTGCTAGCTTTACACTCCGTGTGTAAGCAAAATAAAATTATCATACTCCGTAATAAATATCAAAAAAATTACTCCCCCGTCCCAAAAAAAACTTTTCTCCTTTCTTTTTTCATCCGTCTCAAAAAACACTTCTCATTTCTATTAAAAAGTCACTTTTACCCCTTACTTTTTCATACCATACCTATCACATCATACCTTTTTACTAATAATCTATCCATCAAATCATACTTTTACCAATTACATCAAAGGACATTTTTGGAAATTCAATACCAAAATACACTCCCCTTAAATTCCTCTTCAAAACCAAAACTCCCATGTTTTTCGGGACGAAGGGAGTATTATTTAATTTTTTGATTTTATTGTTGCCATAATTCATATCCTACTAGGATTAGAATTATCCCTTATAATCCCTATATATGAGAAAGTATTCATTATTATTCAATAAGACAATTATTATCAAATTCTATTAGGATCAAATCAGATTAGTTCTCAAGGAAAGAATTAAGGAAGCATCTTGTTTATTAAATTTTATATTTAAGGGTTGTGAAAGAGTGACAAAACAAGAAAAAAAAATGGAAAAACACAATGACTTCATTGTAAATACGCCAAATTTGCCTCGCTTTAAGAAAATGTACTATTCCCTTATTCAAAAAATACAATATCACAAATTAAAAATAAATTATTCTCATTTCTTAAAATTAAACCCTAAAATCAAATCAAACCAACACATTTTTGGGGAAAGTATTACGAGCCAAGGCAAATCTATAACTCATTGGCATTGAGAGTACTTGACCACAGTGGATTAAAAAAATTACTCCGGTAATTAATAGGTCGATAATCCATTTTTTAAAATAACACTAGTGCCCCCATTAACCTTTGTTAATATAAAAATAAAAGTCAAAACATTTTAACACTTTAATTAAACTTTTTTTTAGTAATGTATACATTCTAAAATTAAAAATATTTTATTTATTTAGTTATAAATTGTGCGTAATAATTTATAATATTGATACAAATGATTAACATTATTTTTGTTGTTTTCGGATCCGCCACTTGTATATATAAGCTGAGTATAATTTTATTTTGTTTTGATATGTATGGAGTATATATATTCTAATAAGGGACCCATTCCGGACACAATGAGTACTGCGGTAACTTTTAGAGCATTTGCGGGTTATTATACCAACTGTTTCGTATTTCTTAGAAAAATGCTCTAAAAAAATGTTCATTTAGTAACCATACAAAACATCCTTGATATATGGCATTTACATGAATTATGTGTCGGCTTGTTATTGCTTTTTATCCTTTTCTCCGCTTGCCTAGGCGTGATTCGAAATATATTTAACGTTAAAAGGGAAGCATCAAAAATTAAAGTGTGTATAAAATTTATACTTTCTCTGTTTTGAAAATGTTTTTGTCCTAATTTTTTATACACCCCATAAAATACTTTTAATTTCACCTAATTTTTTGGGGACATCAAAAATATTTTATACTCCCTCCGTCCCTAAATAAAGTTCCTCTTTCGTTTTTTCTTTGTCCCTAAATAAATTTCTATTTTCCCTTAAAAACCCCTTTTACCCCTTACTTTTTCATACCCTACCTATCACATCATACCTTTTTACTAATAATCTACATATCACATCTTACTTTTACACATCACATCAAGGGTATTTTTGGAAAGTCAACACAAAAATATCCCTCTCTTAAATCCTCAAAAAGTCAAAAATGGAACTTTATTTAGGGACGGAGGGAGTATAAAACATGTAAACTTACATAATTAAAAAAAAATCACCCTAAATAACACTGTGAATGAGTATGTTACTATACTTTGTGGTAACTTACATGGTCATGATTGATATTTGGTAATGTAAATGCATTTTAACTTCTATTTTGATAATAAAAATATAATTCTTATTTTGTTATATTTCCAATGTTTTACTCATACTTTTGTCATTTACCTTTTTAAAAGTTAAGTTAAAAATTCTACAAAATGAGAGATGCTGACAAGATGAATATTTTATTTTATCAAATAATTATTCAAACGTAGAAATAAACAAAATTTATTATAAATTTTAAATATTGAAGAGTGTGATTGTTTTGTTTGGAGGAAGTAAGTAGTTAACACTAAAGCTCTAACATATCCATTCCAAAAAAACCAATACGGCTAAAAATTTCCGTGCAAGAGTGAATAAATTTATTCAAAAGGTACATCAAAGAACAGTTTGAAGGTACAACTGTACAAGCCATGTTCCAAGGCTGAGAATATACTTAGAGTTGTGGTCACAATGTTTAAAAAAACAACCCCCCCACGTTGTTTCTATGCCGTGCATGATGTCCGGCCTTTGTCCTCCCACAAACAAACCCTAATTAATTTACTTTGTTAATCATATTAGCTGCTAATGACTCTTCATTATAACATTTTAATTGCGTGCATGCATTAGACCCGGGAGCATCGACTTCGAATTAAAGGTTGTGTTTTGGTTAGTTAACCAAATAATTGTTTTATTAGTGGTTGGGCAGACATGTCGAGGTTACCATGATGTTTACCTCTCTGGCATGCGTGGAGTCATCAATTTGTTAACTGTGATTAATTAAAGAGGATTGAGGCACGAGAAAAGAATGATTTTCACTATTAGGGGTGTTTTGTGTGTGGTTATGGGAATAATTAGAGTGAAGATGGTTTTGGGTTGGTTTGGGCCAGATATAGAAGTGGGCCATGAAATGGTTTGGGTTTTGAAGGGCGAGCATGTTCTGCGATTGTGATTGGTTCGGGTTAATTGGGCGACGACGAACTAACGCCGGCCCGGACCCCACTACCCCTCCTTCTCGCCCTGACAAGCCGTTGTTATTACCCGTTTTACTTTTTTGGTACGGTTCATCCCTCCTTCTCACCCTTCACGAGATCTCATTAAAATAGATTTTAATCTTGATCTGATTTAAATGTATTTATATTTAAAATTATTTTGATCTAATTTAAAGTAATTCTAATAAGAAAAAGTTACTCCCCCCGTCCCTAAATAAATTTTTCTTTTTGACTTTTTGGGAAATTAAGGGAGAGATATTTTAGTGTTGACTTTCCAAAAATACCCTTGATGTGATGTGTAAAAGTAAGATGTGATATGCAGATTATTACTCCCTCCGTCCCCAATTTGATTACAAATGGCGGGTTACAGAGTAAAATTTCATACTTTTTGAAATTATTTTATTTACAAATTGGTATATCAATAAGATATAAAAATTACATATTAAAAAACTACGTCAAAAGTTCTACCAAACAAGACGTGACAAGAATATTTTATTTTATCAATTACTTAATGAAATCGCGTAAACAAATAAAAGTTATCGAGAGGACATAGGACGGAGGGAGTAGTAAAAAGGTATGATGTGATAGATAGAGTATGAAAAAAGTAAGGGGTAAAAGGGGGTTTTTAAGAGAAAAGAGAAGTTTATTTGGGGACAAAGAAAAAACGAAAGAGGAAATTTATTTGGGGACGGATGGAGTATAAGAAAAGTCGTGTTTTCTTCAATTTAATCTTATTATTGTATTATTTTTTCTTATTAAAATCAAGGCAGTTAAAATCAGACCAACTCAAATCAAAACAGATATAGTTTGAAGTATAACTACACTCAGATCATATCAAATCAGATCAAAAGTTATTTCAATCAGATCAAAATTATTTAGATCAGGCAATGAGAACATTGTCTAAGTTGAAGAGAACATGGCCATAACCACACCATGATAATATTAATATTAATATTAACATTATTAGCCATGCTATAAGAACCTCACCTTATTCTCCACTTTTGACCTTATTGCCTTCACTGACATTACGGACACCGAACAGACCATGAATATTGTTTTGTGTCTGTAACGTCTGTAAATACATCGTAAATTGTAAAATGACTTTAATTTTGGGTGAGGGGTTATTATTGCATTTGTGACCCTTTTTTTACTTTTTAATTTGTTTTACTATTTCCGTCTCATTAATATAATGATATTTGTGTCAATAGTTTCATTCTAATTTTCTTACTCTGTACTTTTTAACTTTTATCAACCAAAATTTTCCCTTTGTTAACTATGTCAACAAAAAGTTGATAAAATGTCATAGCAATGTTAAAAGTTTTGGAGTTTTAAAAACTGCCTTCTTGCAATTAATTAATTAATTAATTAAATTACTCCATAGTATTTAAAGAATTAATTTTCGTTAACTTGTTATATTGTTTTGGTGTATTTACAAGTGGGACAGAATATTTCATACATTATTTGAAATTCAATTCACAAGTCCAAACAAAAAATAATAAACCCAATAAAGAACAAACCCAAATAAAAACAAATTGTCCAGTTAAGAAATTTGCACGTATATTGCTTGAGTTGATATTGTGATCGCGAAGAGGAAATATTTGCAATTAGCTTTATCAACTCAACTATGAGTTGGCTACATATTTCTATCAGTCCCAAATTTATAATTTTGTTCCATTATTTATTGGTCAATTTTTTAATTTTTTCATCAATTTAATCGGCAATTTTTTTTATTTTAAGCGTAATCAAATTGTTAGTGAGTTTTATTTTTGCATTCTAATACAGACAAGGAATGTGTAATATAATAAAAAAGCATTATTTATCAATTTTAATTTTTTTGCCTTTTAATATACGCAATATACATTCTATTGTTTAAAAATTTTTAAAAAATCAGGGATATATTTTTTTGTTTATTAAAAAAACATTTGAACACCATTTATTTATCTCTTTCAACGAGTTTTCAGCTACATTTTTTTTATTTTTAACATGAATTTTGTGTATGGTGGGGAGCATTTGGGCTCCGGCCTTACTTTCCCCCATTTCTCAACAAATGTATGGTGGGGAGCATGTCGGTGTGGAAATGGGATACAATTTTACGTATTAAATAATAACACTTTTATTATTTAATTGTAATTAGGTCCA